TCCCAACCCTAACCGTGTGTATTTATTAGGTTGATTTGATTTCTTTTTATTGGAACTGCTGGATTATATGGGGGAGGAGGGGAGGGCAGACTTCTTCAATGCTTTTAAATCTTTCTTGGGGCTTGAAAGACTTCTATAATATGAGTGTCATTCAAATTTAGGGTATATTGTAAGCTGACATCTTTCAAAGCTTTGTGGAAATCTAGTGTGGTGCTCCTAATAGTAGACAACAGAGGATCACTTTGAAGTCTGAAAACTGGCTTCACAAATTCTTAATCTGGTTTTTCTCCAAGTGCAGATGGCTCTTAAAGGAAGATGCCGTGGAATTATTTTTTTTTACTTTATTTACAGTAGGCTAGGCTCAACATCTTTTCTCATAGAAAGCCAACGTTCAGTCACGGTTACAAAGCTGATTAGCAAGTATGCCAAACCTATTTATTTTTTGTATGTCTGCCTTCTGGTCAAGTAGATTGAAATATTTGATTCTGGCCCTCCACCCTTTAAGCATAGAATCAGTTATCGCATTAGATTTTGGGGTGGGCACCCCATAGAGAAACTAGTAACCTGGAACGGGAGGGGGGAGGATATGATACTTGGGCAAGAGGTGCTCGGTGTGCGTGCTTGGCGGCTTGATCCCCTTGGCAGGTCCGATTTGGAGTTCGGGGATGTGCTTGGAAGTTAGAGCCCAGATGAGGAAGAAACTTCCACTCTGGAGTTCAGGCAGTTCTGAAAATGCCCATCTGGCAGCGCACATCCAGTACTGAATGGGCTCTCGCTTTCACCTTAAGTGTTTCGTAGGCTTGATTAATAGCGCCAGAGAGATGAATATCTTGCCTCGCTCCCCTCCTGTTTTGCCTAGGCAACTTTTTCTTGTTTTGTTTTTAAACAATGTCTTCTCTGAACGGATTCTGTAGAGGTCACTTTTTGTGTATGAGCGAGAGGTTGTCCCTGGTGTCTGTGTCTAGCATATGCATGTGGTTTTGCTGACTGCACTCTCAGGCTTGTAAATTTTCACCATGGGAAATTACCAACAAAGCCCAATCTGTCTCCTGGCTGCTTTGCACTTTCCGAGGGCGGCTGTACTTGAGTGGAGCTGCAGAACTGGATTCTGTAGAGGTCACTTTTTGTGTATGAGCGAGAGGTTGTCCCTGGTGTCTGTGTCTAGCATATGCATGTGGTTTTGCTGACTGCACTCTCAGGCTTGTAAATTTTCACCATGGGAAATTACCAACAAAGCCCAATCTGTCTCCTGGCTGCTTTGCACTTTCCGAGGGCGGCTGTACTTGAGTGGAGCTGCAGAACTGGAGGGGGTGGGGGGGGGAGGAGAGGAAGGGTGGGTGGGTGTGTGGGGAGGGGGGGTGGAAGAGAGGTAAATAGCCTTAAATCGGAAGGGAGCTGCTTTCTCTGTGGTCTTCCACAAGAGCTGTTTGGGTTCGGCTGGCTCAGTAATAACCGAGTGACCTTTTCTTTTGCTGTATTATGTCTGGCTGGGAAGGGATTGCATTTTGCAGCTGATAAAGCCCTGACTTCATTCAACGCGGCTCCTCACACGCTGCTTTTAGGTAAGTTGTCCTCAGCCAGGACGGCGAGAGACAGCCTTGGACTGCAAGATACTAAAAGGAGGACACCTGTAGCTCGGATGCGGGCAACACAATTACTTGGCGGATCCTGGAGGACCTCATTATTTTAAACTTAAAAGAATAGCGATCTCCTCCCCCGCTCCCCCATCTCTCCCTCTCCCCCCTATTTCTTCCTCCCTCCCCCCCCAAAAAACAATGCTGCTTTTTGACCTTTCCCAAGGAGAAGCGCTACAAAGCGGCCACTGTGCTTATTGAACTGCCTCCCCCTGTATCGCTTAATTGAGAAGGTAAGTGAGGCAACTGTACACCCCGGCTCGGGGTCATTGCTGTGTGTGTGCGCGCATCCCTCTCGCCTAATGAGTCATAAGCTGGGGCTGCAACGCACCGAGACGCGCGCGGCTCGGCACTGCAACTTTCGCTCCAGCTGCAGCTCTGCTGAGAGGGTTTTGTTTAAATCATGTGAGGCTTCATTATTTTAATGATGAGACATGAAATACATGCAGTCGGAGGCGCCTCGCGCAGCTGAATGTCTGGAGAAACAGCAGTCAAAGTTAACAATGAAACTGCAGCGATTTCCCCCCCCCCCCCCCTTCCCCTCTCCTCCTTCCAGAGCGTCTCGGAAATTTATTCTCAATGATCAGGGGAGCAGGTGGATGGTTTCCATCTCGCTCCGCTTTAATCCAAACACCTCCCTTTGCAGCAGTTTTAATTTGTAACTGGCTCTGTAGGCTTGGGAGCCCCTGAGAAGGGGTCCAGCCATAAACACGCCTCCATTTGCCACAGATGTGTGTGTGTGTGTGTGTTTGCTTGCTTGTTAAGGCAAGGCAAAGCAAATGGGTGGGAGAGGGTCTAGTGAAATGCCAAATAAATACCCCTGGGGTAGCACACTGGGGCTCTGATGCAGTGTGGGTTTTTTTTTTTAACCTAGGGTATGTGTGGGGCGCAGGAGGGTGGCCAGGCGGGTGTTATGAAATACTAGATCTATTTATGATCTTTTCCATATTGAACATGATATGGTAGGCTAGCGCTGCATGTGACAGTTTAATCAAATCCATTTGTTACAACGCAGCTAAAGGAGACCGCTGGGATTATAGGATTACGGGCAGAGTTAGGGAGGCATGTGGCTTTGTCATTCGCCATCATTCTGTACGCTGCTCCCTTGCCAGTGGCTCGGCTTGTCTGTTCCACCAGTCCCCTGCCCACTCTCCACCTCCCCCACCCCTGTCTCCAAAGTGCCTGCACAATAGCCCGGCTTCGGCTGTCTGGTGCGTGTCTGGCTGCAGCTCACAAGGCTCCTCATTTGACCCAAAGTGGGGAAATACTTGCTGCTTGGGCTGGAACTGGGCGCTCAATGAGAAGGCGCTGGGCAGGCACTCTGAAGTCAACTCATGCAGAAAAAGGAGAAAAGTTTTGGTAAGGTTACCATCTCGTGTCTTAAGTTTGCACTCAGCAACAGCCGTGCACTTGCTGGGAACGTTTAAACAGGCTGGCTTCTCTCTTTAAAGACGCTACTGTAGCCCGCGCGCGCTTGTCTGTGCTCTACAGAGCTCTGAAATATTGTTTCCTTGACCAGTTTTGTAGGACGGCTGCTTAAACCAATTAATCTTGCTTAGGTGCAACAAATATTGTGCCTTCTTTTGCCACCCCTTGCCCCATCCCTGTGTGGCTTGAAAAGGAATTAGCACAAAAGGCTTGAGCGCCTAACTCCGAAAGGGGTCCTTTGTTGCAGAATGTATGTATGTTTCTTATTTTTTTTTATTTTGCATGTGAGCTGCATCAAAATTGAACTCAGTCTTGCAAATCTCTTGTTGGCCTTTGCCAAGCACTAGCACTTTGCTGCCATGGTAACTGTAATTAAACTGATAAGAGTGGAAAAATGTCAGTATCTCTGAGCCTTGCAGCTGCATTGGAGAAAAAGGGAATCAAATTGGTTCCCAGCACCATTGCGTTCGCTCGCTCTCGCTCTCGCTCTCAAAAAAAAAGGGGGGGGGGGAGTTGTAAGGATAGGGGCACAGTTAAGAAGCAGCTCCAGTCCCTGAGACTGGGGATCATTTATTTACATTGTTGTCCCTTAGGGGGCTACAGCCTGCTGGGATGCTCTGGGCCAATGAACAGAGAGAAACAACCTTTTAGGCCCAATCTAGTTTTCAAAAAGAGGGGGACAAATCTTTTGTTTGGTGTCTCCTGGCAATCAAATGGTGATGGTAGCCAAATTCTTTAATCTGTGTCAGTGCTCCCAGCTGTGGGACTGCATTCCTATTTTAGTATCTATCTAACCTCCCCTTCTCCCCCTCCCCCTCCTTCAGCATTCACCCTAAAAGAGATGTGATTCACACATGTCTCTTTTTTAGAAGACGGGAGTGAAGTTTTGAGCTAATTTTGCCATAGTAAACAACAAAAGTGTGCAAAAGAATCTACATTTACAGTACTCAAATCTTACTTTTTTAAATTAAAAAAAAAAAACCCAAAACCCTGGGTGTTATGGAGTTGCGGTTACTTTGTTGTGTTAACTACAGAAGCTGAGCCTGTGCAGATGAATGGCACAGAACAAGAGAGCATAATGGAAGCAATCAACCGTTAGGCTGCTTCACAATGCAATCCAGGCAATTAAAAGCTCACCAGAGTTTAAATGAAATGGTTCTACTTATTTCTGTGCACCACACTGCACAGGCTATTATTTGCCTCTTTTTTTTTTTTAATTATAATTTCCCTTAACCTGTCAAATAACTGGGAATAGCAGGGTGTTGGAGGCAATAAGACTTTTCCATAGAACAATTTACATGTCAATCTCAAACTAGTTACGACTCCTGATATGCTATAAGCAAGTTATGAAATGTATCTCAGTTTATGAACACTTCATGTCTCTAACACTTGTGTATCTTTATTGCTCCGGACTGATGGGGAGAGAAGCTGTTGGCTGCTTTGTAAGTGAGACTGCAAGGTAGCAGATGCATCTGAAAAGCAGGGGCTCTGGGAACAGTTTGTATAGTGGAGGTGTTGACATTCAACCAAACTGCAAACCCTGGAATGGTCTGGAAATGGATGGAAGCCACCTATGCTGAAAAGTGTTTGGGGTTTCCCCTACCCCTGAATCTTTAACTCTTCTGTTGATGTTGTGTATTTTGTTTGAAAAATATTTCATTTTAAGATTCTTTAAACAAGCTATCCAAACAAGTCTTTTTCAAGAGGTGGGCAAAACTTGATCCTCAGTGAGGCTTGGCCCACTGATATTGGCAAGAACTGTGCTAAACCAAGGGCAGAATTTAGCCCTAAATGTGTAAAGGATCCAGTGCAAAATATGAATGGAAGAATTAGATGCTTAGCCTATGACTGACACTTCAGTTTCACTAAAATATCATCTGTGTAGGAAGAACAGGATGTTCTGTCCATCAGCTTCCACAAGGGGGGCACTGATTCTCAGTCATTGCCAATATTTTACTGACCAGTTACCCCAAATACTTTTCCTCAAATTGAGGAAGAGGGTGAATAATGGTTATACAGTTGGAATGAGATTTATTTATTTTTGCTGCGTGCTCTATTTTCAGGAGCAGGATTAGCTCCATTTCTCTCCCCCTCCCACTTTCTTATTTTGTGGTGGTCCTATCTGCAAATTGACAGCCATTCCGCAGTGCGTTCCAAATAAAAAGAATAGGGATGAGTCACTTTGAAGGATTTGGTTATGGGAGATTAGGGTAAAGTCTAGGAATCAGTAGATCAGAGATAAAAATCTTCTCTTACCTTTCGCCAGAAATTCAAAGGTGGAAGATGGTGTCTGGGAAAATATCTTCAAGCTACAAAGCTAGTCTGGCTGCAGTGACTTAAAAATCCTTGATAATCTATCAGGACTATTAAGAAATGCTAATTTGAGAGTGTCAGACTGAGGTCAATAATTGTGATCAGTCTAGACTATATATCTGTAAGGGATAATGGGTAGTGCTTTGCACTACTGCATAGGGAAACCTTGGCTTATTTTTACAGATCAGGTGCTCCACTGACTGAGTTGAGTGTTTTTGGAAGTGCTGATAGCAGTAGCTTGTGCTGTAGAAGGGTGCATGTTTCTTCTACCAGTTCAGCAACAAACAGTGTTTGGGTGGTGACTGAACCCACAGGAAATTTTCCAGTTCTCCTTAGAACAGAAGTATCCAGATGGTGATCAGTTGAGAGCAGGCTGACACTAAGATTCTGGCACTCTTTATTTCAGACTAATATATTTCTGGCCATCTTTTAATTTAATTGATCACTTTCCATGTAAGTAATTGCTATAGTTGCCATAGGGATCGTGTGAGATCATTAATGGGCAAGAGCTTGTCCATGAGACCATATGCCTTAATGTGTCCCACACAACAAATACAATTAGGGAGTGTATTCTAGAAATTGTCCAGGGTTTGGAAAAGAGGAGGGGAAAGTAAACTAAGAATCGGTCAGGCACTGCCAACACTCTTTTGAGGGAGTGCAGTGGGGGAAGAGGTGACAGAGGTGAGGATCGCTTTTGGGGAAAATGTACTAAAATACTTAATGTTAAAGATCAGCAGCATTGGTACAATTTTCAGCCAATGAAGTCTCCTTCCTTTTGAAGTACCATAAGATGTCTTCTAATGCAGCTGTGGAAAAACCTCTCTTCTCTTCCCCCCCCCCCCCCGAAAAGAGGATCCTATAAGCTTTGTCCCTTAGAAGAAGATAGATACTGCCAGTTGGATTTGTCTGAGCCACCTTTATCTCCACCTCAAGAAAATAGGTGGCACTGATAGGTTGGGGCACAAAGGCTCTCTCCATTCTCATGTTTCTGCTTGAGTGATTCAGGAGCAGTGAATAAAGTTAAAAATCTTGACCTCACCTTTGACTATGTCCTTACCTTTCGTCGCATTGTATGTACCCCTTCCAGTTGGAAGATCATGCAAGCCATACCCTCTTTATCATGTAGTGACCCCACATAAGCCTTTGGGAATCCAGAGGTTTGACTCTTTTTGCAGTCTCGGATTTTTGAGCTTTGCATCGCTTCTTGCAGCTTGTTCACTTTAAACTGCAACAGGATACTTGCTTGCTGGTTTGATCAATTAGAATCAGTGTGCGCCAGCCTGGATTCTCTACCCATAGTCACCTTTCACGTAAAATTGTTCACTCATTTATTTATTTTTAAGCCCTTCAGTATTTTAGCTCCTGGTTTAACCTGGATTCCCTCAAGCTAAAGTTTCAAATCCTAGTACAGTCTTTCACCTTTCTGAACTTCTGAAACTGAATTCCAAGCAATCTAGGTTTGTTGTTCTATCTTATTTTACATTGTGTATGTGGTTTGGAAACTGCCTTGTAAAAAAGCCATGCAGAGCACTGATATTAATTTACCAAATGCTTATTTCAGAGGAAATGTAAATGCTTAGAGGGTTGGGGTTTTTTGAGTGGTTAAATATCCAGTGGGATTTTTCCATAAGGCTTTTTCCTCCATTGTTCTTGATAAAGGTTCTTCAAAAGGTGTTCTTCGGTGTGCTAATAGCTGTTGCCCTTGAGGATCGTGTTAACCCCCGTTCATAATGGCGCGTGAGTGGCGCTCTGTGTATGCAGCTTGTGGGTGAAGAAGCATACTGGAAGGTGCCCTGGAAAGTGCTTAAGGCACTGGCATAGACAGGGCTGTTCTGCCTTGTTTTTGATGATGGCTTCTCACGTGTCCTGAGGAAAGTCACATAATCTCTGTTTCAGAGACGGGGAATGGGAACATGGATTATGCCCATTCCGCTGCTGGGAGCTATGATGCTCACACGCTACAGTGCAGTGGGCAATGCACAGAGACAGAAAAATGAATTTGAGCCGTTGACTTCTCAGATTAATGCCAGCCAAAATACAACAGTGCTATTTTGTATTACATATGTTAGATTAATATTTAATTACATGACTAATGGGGGTGGGGAACTGTGGGGCTGTACTAGGGGCATTCCACAGCACAAGTGGGGATTATTGTTCTAATTTCTGTGGCCACTGGGCTTCAGAGATAAAATTTAGAAGTTGCTCCTTCTGCCCCTTCAGAAAGCCTCTTAGCTGAACTAGTATCTATGCAGACTAAGGGTAGTTGCATGGAGAACATACAATTAAAGGCAACCATGGAACCTACAGTTGGTGCAAAATGCAGCAGCTTGTCTTAGTGGTGCCAGTCAAAAAGGCACACTATAGTGTGTTAGTCTACACTGGCTTCCTGGTGGCTTGTGTGAGTGTAATTCCTTAGGGCATGTCTACACAGCAGGGCTGAAGCCGAAATAAGTTGCGCAACTTGAGCTGCGTCAATTCCGTAGCTTAAGTCGAAATAGGCTATTTTGGCTTTTGGCTGTCTACACAGCAGGTGGTCTGAGAGCACTTTTCCTCCGAAGTCCCTTACTCCTCGTACAATGAGGGTTACAGGAGTCGGCATAAGAAGTCCTCCAGCTCAACATTATTTTGACACGTCAAAATAATGGCTTTTAGTGTAGATGCGGACTATGGTATTTTGAAATAATATTAGTGTAGATGTACCCTTACTTAGCTCAGGTGTAGCTACCTCATACTGATTCTTCCTCCTGGTAACTTACCACACCAGTTGAGATGAGCTGATAGCCAGATCTTGCAGGCCCCAGCTTTTAAAACAGCAGATGGACGGGCATTCTTGGCGAAGAGTCCATACCTCTGGACGCTGCTTTCCTTCATTGCTCTAACAGCCCTGCAAATCCACTGGTACCTGCGTCTGTGGAGGCAGGTATCTGCAGCTTGGTTGTAGATATAGATAGAAATTTTGTAGCCGCACAGGGCTGTACTCTCAGAGCTCATATTTGACCTTCAGGCCGTGGAGAAGCTGAGTCCTTCTGTTTTTCCCAACCTAAGCCTGAAGGAAAGCAATACATGTGGGCAGTAACACTTGATTCTGGGTAGGGGTTCGTTATTATGTTGCTCAAATCTTTCACATTTTGGCTGAGGACTGGTTGTGTATTGGGTGCACTCTTATGAAAACATATGCACTTACGCGCTTGGCTTGGAACACTGGAGGAAAAATAGAGTAATGATTCAGCATGCATGCTTTATTTCTATCTCTCTGCTTGCCTGCCTGATGTAATGCAAGGAGAAATAATACAGCCTTGTTAGATGTTTACAGTGGCAGAACTTTGAGATACCAGGGGCAGAGGAGCGAAACACTTGGATTTTAAGGAAGTCTGATGACTAGGTTGATCTGGAGTGGGGATTCAAACTACTAATCTAGAGACACTCATTCCCATGATCTTTGTTGGCAGATGGGTCCCCCCCCTCCACCCACCGTGCATTGTAAAAACTAGAGCAATTGGGTTCCTTCCCTGATTTGATCCTTGGGCGACAGAGTAACTATTTATCATTTTCACTTCTAGCCATCTAGTCCCCTCCTTACACATTCCCCTTCAACTTAATTTTGCAATTTGTAGGTGTCTGCCACTCAATATCTCATAAGTGGCATTTACTGTTTTGTCTAAAGCTATAATATTTCCACTTACATCTCTTCAGGAATCTTTGATATAATACCTGTTATAAACATTTTATTCCTACAATGGTGGTATTCTGTTTCACTGTGTGCTAATCAGGAGAAATGGCTTCGGTTGATCTGCTTGCCTGTGAATAACTGACATTTGTGCAGGTCATTTAGGACCAATAGTGCTTTTGTGCTATTGAATCTATATGAAAAGTGATCACCCTGAAATTCTCAGAATCTCTGAGTTTTCACTGTCCATTCACTTTATTTAGGTACATAAATGGGAACTGAGCTCTCAAAAATTTGACCTTGAATGTGGGTGTTGAGCAGTCTTGCAATTAGAGGTTCAAGTCTAAATTTTCTTTCTTTCCAAATATAAAATTGGGAATGCTTGTGGTTAATATTTGGGAATCCTTTGGCTGTCCCTAGTGCAAAATATTATCAAATTCAATATTGCTCCTGATTCAACTCTTCCTCAGATTTGTTCAAATTTTGACCATTCGAATTTTAACTAATTACTGTATATAGCAATTTTTGCCAAGTGCCTGAGAAGGCAGGGATGTTGGGGAGAAGGTAAGGAACCTAGCCGGGAGAGATTAAATGACTCTTAATGCTATTGTCAATGTGACATTAACTATTTAAATCATTCACTTCATCTAAAGAGCAACCTTTTTATGCATTAGGAAGAAAAATTCACACCTGTGAAAGGGAGACTTTAAAAATCTCATTCTTCTCTCCTGTGTTTTATTTCAGGTATACAAATGCTCTCGGTCCAGCCAGACACCAAGCCGAAAGGTTGTGCTGGCTGCAACCGTAAGATCAAGGACCGGTATCTTCTAAAAGCCCTGGACAAATATTGGCATGAGGACTGCCTGAAATGTGCGTGCTGTGACTGTCGTTTGGGGGAGGTGGGCTCCACCTTGTACACCAAAGCCAACCTTATCCTTTGTCGCAGAGACTACCTGAGGTAGGAGTTGTCGTCGTTGTCCAGTATGTAAGCATTGTAGTCCTCTTGCCTTTCGCTGTATAAGAAAGATCCCTTGGAACAATAAATACCCGACTGCTATAAAGTCTTTCCCCAGTCCTATATTAAGTATTGTACAGATAAAAACAAGTGCCATGATAGCAAAAATAGTTTGAATTGAAGTAACCGCTGCATGCTCTCATAAATGCATAGATGTCAGCCTGACAACACTGGACTCTGAAGCCCTCTATTGAGAGGAAAGTGCACTGTGTAAACATTATAGGTTTTTCCTACTGCTGTTCTTTCATCTCTAACTTGGAGGCATCACATCTTCCTCTAATAACGAAAGTACAGCGTTCTACTTTTCTAAAGCGCACTAACACACTGCAGATTAATTGGTCCAATGAGATCCTGTAGGTATGTTTTTAATGTAGTACTGTTTAAAACAGTATTACGTTAATGTGCACTAGGGATCCTTAAGTGTCTCCCAGCAAAGCCTGGATGGGCCCATTAATGTACAGTAAGTTAGTGCATGTTACAACTCCCACCCTCGAGATGCCCGTTATTCCCAGCTGTGTAGACAAGCTCTAAAATAGATTAGGTCTAAAGTGGTCCTATACTCCATACAATAGTTTCTGTTGCTAATTTTAAAATACTATAAAGGTGATCACTGATACTCTTTCGGCTGGCTTCATTACATTTCCCTGCCTTAGTGATGATGCAGTATTGGAAAGGAAATACAGGTATGATCTCTGCTGTAACATGGCACCTCCCGTTTAGTTACGCATTTTCTGATCTGAGATGCAACTTGAGGTGCTTCAAACTATCTTGTGTAATGGGCAATGTTCTTCCTTGTGAAGTCTGCTATTACAGGCTTCGAGAACACTACAGTTAGAGAACACTGAACTGATTGCAAGGTAGTGCTGCACAGGAGCAAAACATTGAGTTTGGACTCTGAGATTCTTGTGATGAGTGCTAGTTAAGTCTTATTCCAACAAATTGGTTCAGTTGCTTGAAAAAGCTGGAAACCATAACTAAAGGAATTGGTGTACAGCCGTTGATCATATGCTCATGACAGTGGTTTCAAAAGACACAAACAGCTTCTTTCCTGGTGACAATCTAACTCTTCTCAACTTTCAAACTAAGACCTATTTTTTTCCCTTTTCAAATGATTATGCAGTAGTGGCAAGGGGGAGGGGGAACCTGCAGGAGTTCCAGGTTTATCTCTGTCTTTGCAAACAGCTAGTGAAGCAAATCTTGCATCTTGAAATAAGGTGTTCTCCATGCCTCTCAAATCAACAGCAATAAATGATCAAGCATTTGGAACATTAGGTGTACGGTGCAGATGAGAACCCGGCTTATTCTTTCTTGGCTGCTAGAGCTCTTTAGGGTTAGCTGGGATGGAAACTTGGTTTGGCAGTAGTTTGAGCTAATGTGTAAGTAGGAAGGGGACCCACTACTCCATACAGGGCCATCCCCGCACATACGCGGAATACATGGCTGCATAGGGCACCTGAAAATCTGAGGTGCCACCGGGCTCCTGCATGTGAGAGTTGACTGGCTCCTGCTGCCCCAAATTATGGTAACGTTTACTGGAGGGGGCCAGTTAGGCAGCTTGTGGTGGCAATTGGGTGAGACCTGGGCTATGGATAGAAGTGTAAGCCCCTGGTTAAAGAATGTGTGAGGGAAGCTCCAGAATCCAGAAGGGGTGGAGTTGGGGCCTAATCTCCCCCAGCCAGTCCTTTAGTGCCGTCCGGCTCGTGCTTGCCAGTGCTCGTGATTTAAAGGGGCCAGGATTCTGGCCATTACTGATGATAGCAATGGTGGCTATTGGGAGCTCTGGCCCCCTTAAAGTTTCGAGGCCCTAGGGCAGCTGCCCTTTTAGCTTCATCCCCCTCATCTGCCTCACCTGCTGGCTGTGCTTCCTGAACCTGGCTCCCTGCTCGCTGAAGGCCGGAGCACTCTTATTCCTAGTGAACCCCAAACCATGGAGGGGAGTGGCAGCCTCCAGCAGCCAGGTGAGGCATTTAACTTCCCCTTCCCCATTTCCAACTTTCTCAGGTAACATCCTGTGAGAGGGGGTAGGGTGAGACAAGTCATGTGGGGAGAAGATGGAGGGGGGGATGGTCTACGTAAGATGCTTAAATTGTGTCCTATCTATCCTCTCCTTTCTGCATAGTCTCGTGTGGCTGCTTTCATATAGCCTTGTGTAGATTTAAACAAAAAAATTGTATCTGCAAAAATTGAGCTGCGGATATCCATGCATGTGGATTCCTGTGGATTTGCCAGGCTCTATATATTCAGACTTAAACTGACTTATGTGTAGCTTTCATCATCCATACAGCTATCTGCTGTTCTGATCAGGATAACTACAACCAACAGGGGAGAGAATCATGTCATTGTCAAGTTTAAATATTTCTCATCTGGCTGTGGATTCATCAAAATATAGTCATGGTGCTTATACTGTAGTGATACTTGCAAATGTATAGATTCAAACACTAAATTTTAAACTGATGCACTTAAATGATTATCTGTGGGTGCTTCATTTACCTCATTGCCTTACCATGTAGTTAAAGCCCCGCAAATGTACACATATCTGCATCTGCGGATATCAGTGCAGATATTCTGCAGCTCATTTTTGTGGATATGGATGCCGATACAAAATTTGTATCCGCACAGGGCTCAACACATAGTTATGCAGTGAACCTATACAAGTAACTCTCATTTTACTGCTAATGCAGAATCTGTTTTTCCTTGTAGGCAAATAGTTTAAAATGTGAACTTTTTTTGTTTATGAATACATTACTTTGTATTAATGAACAGATTATGGTTGGGTTACAGCTTCAAACTATCTTCTTAGAGTAAGATTAACTGTAAACAGAGTTTTAATCAGCTACATAGAAAAGAATTAGCTTCCTATTTTATGTGGTGCCCTCTAGAGGATATGTGACTTTAGTGATACTAAAAAGAGAGCAAAATAGAGCAAAATAGAAATACAAGTTAAACTGTTTGTGGTCAGATTATCACTTCCAGAATTTCTGGAATGATGGTCTTATTGAAAAACAAAGTGGCTCCATTATTAAACTGGAGGCCGGGGGGGAGGGGAGGGGATGATTGTTTGTCCAAGGTTGTTTGTACAGAGGCTTCCTGTCGTCCACCCTTTTTTTTTCCAAATCTTATGTGTGCACATAAAGATTCATTCTGGAAAAGTAATTGTTTCCCAGTATCCGCACCTTGATACCAAGGAGTTCCAGATATCAAACTCCCTGATCAATGATATTAAACTAATTTTATTTTTAACTCCTGTTTTCTAAGCAGGGGATGTCTTCGTAGTGAGATGTAACAAAACTATATCTTAGGCAATCCATTGGTGGCCTCATCCTGCAGCCTCTTGCATGTGAGTTGTCCCAGTGACTTCAAAGGGACAACTCACATCAGAGGAGCAGTTGGAAGGGAGGGGAGAAAATGGAAGGAGAAGCACTGCAGGAATCCACCCTATTCTGTTAACCAGTAAGGAAATTGACTTGTGTAAAGAACGCTCAGTATTAGAAATAACTTTCCATGAAAATGAGATTCAGAACACAGTTTCCCTGCAGGCTTCTGTCTCCTGCTCATACACTCTTGGGTTAGCAGTGAAGACTTAATTTAAGGAATTTGGGTTCACGCTCCTACTCTGCATCCAATTATAGTAAATGGAACATATTATTAATACAAACAGTTTTTCTCCAGAAATGTGAAATGACATCTTAATGTAGCTTCCCATCCCAATCTGTCCTCCATTCTGACTGGCAGCATGTCCATTTACAAGAGTGATACTCTCTTTGAAATCTGTCCATTATGGAAGTTAATGACCAGTTGTTATGTTCACAGCCCAAGGGCTATTAACGTATCAAACTGGTTGTTAACTGGAAGGTTCGTACTTATTTAAACCACAGGTATGACTTGTAACTCAAGCATATTTCATACGTATCACAGGGAACATCTGCAAAAAAACTTTTAAAATGGAAAACTGCCAATTGTTGCCTATTCTTAGGTAGCAGGGCTTTTCCCTCTGCTGCTCACTGGACTTTTGTATGTTCTTTAGCACCACAGAGCAGCATCTTTATCTTAGGCCCGAGCACACTTTGCACCCATCTCAAGGGTTACTACTCGGCTTGAGCACATGTGTGCTGCAATGGGTATCTCCAGATGCACAGTACTGTGTGCCACACATCTGAGATTAATATCTGGCCCAAAGTGAAAAATGAAAGACTGACAATTACTTGTAACTCAGTTGCATTAAATAATGAGCTTCCTCTGAAGCAGTGAAAATATGAAACTACAGCTGTGCTAAGCTAGTAGCAATGTAGGTCAATCACCCTTTTCACTTAGGTTTTTAACTACGCAAACCCTGCTGAGCGACCAATGACTACAAAGTGCTGTTTCATTCCTATTTAATTTTGGCAGCATTTCACTGAAGAGCAGGCATTCACATAGCTAAATTACCTTCACTGTTTCTGGTTTTAATTCAGTTCCATGACACTAATGTTGGAGTGCATCTCTCTTAGTAAATACAAAGAATATGGCTTCTGACTTTAAAAAAAAAAAAAAAATCCATCTCAATGTGGAAATTGAATTAGAACATTTTACATAATAAATTCTCTAGACATGTAAACTGACCATAAGAGGATTCACAAAGAGGATTCACAAAACAAATATTAGTGTGGGTTTTTTGCATGTAGGATCTTTGTGGGAAAAGGAAATACAAAATAGTAAAATTCTTCCCTTTTTTTTCTTCTTCTATGTTTAATGAACATTTAGCTTGTGCATTTACTATGAACTTTAAAAGTATCACTGAATAGCTATAAAGATGACTAGATTATATTTTGCTAGGGAAGATGGTGAATTGAATTTCCTTTTGCTTTTGGCTGAAGACTTCAGAGACAAACCAAGTTGAAAAAATATTGGCACAGATCTTGTAAATAATGAAAGCACACTACAGAAATAGTGTTCAGGCATAAACA